TGTGTAGCTACCGAAGTTCTCTCCAATCAGGGTTTCGAGGACAGAAGCAGGCAACCCCGTTTTAGAAGCCAACACGTGAGCTTCACTGAGGAGAAGCATGAGACCCGCGGTTATAAAATTGCTTGTTGTTTTCAGCAGAAGCGCCTGAGATGGTTCTTCACCCACTCTAATCACCGCACGTGCGATCACGTTTTCCAGGAAGGGCAGGATGGGGGTGATGGCAGATGCGGGGCCGGCGATGGCCATCAGCAAACGACCGGCTTGGGCGAGGGGTGTGGCGCCGAAGACTGGGGCGGCTATGTAGTATGCGCCTGTTGAGGTGAACTGGGCTGTTATGCTTGAGGTGGTGGTGGGGTGGACGGTTGTTGTGTCGATTATGGTTTTGGCTGTAAGGGGGCCGCTGGAGAGGATGGTGGATGTGATGGTTTGAAGGGCTGTGTCGTCGCTTACCTGTGAGATGTTAGTGAAATGATGGGTTTACCTAGGTACCTAGGTATGTTGGGTATGGTGAGGACTCACGGAGATGAATATTACATCGCAGGTGTGAACCAATTCTGCGATTGATGAACAGGGAGTGCCTCCGATGTCTTTTAGGCTGTCACCTCGTGAGAGAGTTCGGTTCCAGTACTTCAGTGGTGGTAGATTGTTCTGTGCAAGATGTTTCTGGATATTGGTCGCCATGGCTAGGCCCATTGATCCAAGGCCTATCCATCCCAGGCGGAGAGGTTGTTGTGTGGACATGTTGACCGGGTGTAAGAACGCGTGTTTTGCGTTGGGTTACAAAAACTGCTGACTTGATGCTACACTTATCCCCAAGGTGAGGTGACTCAACTTGAAGACGTAGGTATGAGTATACATGCACACGAATCGAGTATGCAGCACACTAGTGTGTATTAGGCAAGCGACTATCTGATATAACCGGATATTCCAGGAAGAGTGTGGTCGCGGACAAATCTTACAGCCTTGCATTATCTTAGTATACCAGAGTAGGGATACCTTGTGTAAGGCCAGCAAAAGTAGAACTATGAAAGGATCCTCTACATTGCACGCCATCAGTGTAGCTTGTAACAAGAGCTGAATACCGAATGAAACCATTCCTTGTATTTTGTCAATAATGTAAATAATACAAGTGATGCATGAAGGCCCAAACTCCTGGCTATGCTGATGATCGTAGATGGAAATGAATCAATCTCCAATAGTTCTTCTTGTACATCTCGCGACCATACCGTGAAGGCAATCCACCACATCCTATTTCCCTTGCGTTTGTTGTTGAATCCAATCCGAGACTCTAGAGGACGAGTGCCGCAATAGCACTGTCTTCAGAGGCAACGTATCTCCAGAAGTCTACTCTTCGTCCTCATCATCGTCAACCACACGTCTCCGCTTCGTCCGGCTAACAACCACCTCATCGTCGTCGTCATCGTCGGCAGCAACACCACCCCGTGCGCGCTTGGGACTCGCCGCAATACCCTCGTCTGGATCATCGTCGTCGTCCACGATCTCTGGTTCCTCGTCACTAGCGGCGATGAAGTCATCCTCTTCATCGTAGTCGTCTTCGCGATTCCTCCTTGGGCCACCGTAGTCCTCGTCGTCACTCCAGTCACGCCGTAAGCCACCCTTCTGCGCGTTCTTCTTCCGAGCCGGGCGATCTTCCAGTCCGTCAATGTCAAGACCTCCTGATGCGCGACCGCCGGTGCGGCCCATGGTGCGGTTTGCACGCTCTGCCTGGCGCGCTTCGTGTTTCTCGCGGGCGCGCAATTGCCTCTGCTTCTCCTTGAACGTGGCCTCTTCGCGTTGTCGGCGGAGCTCGGGGTCTTCGTCCACGTTGATGAAGGATATGGCTTGGTCGGCATCGTCTCGGCCCTTTGCTGCGACCTTGGCAAGGTCGTTTTGCAGCTTTTCCAGCGCGGCGTCTTTTGTGTTCGATGTGGGTACGACGTTGAGGGAGGCCGTGAGCTTGTTCGTGACGCGCATAACGTTCGCTTCCTCGTACGGCGCAACCAGGTATGTGTAGCTCTCCTTCTTCGCGCTTGTCTTGCCATTCTTCTCGTCTCTGACAGCCGTTGGGGTGGGAATCTTGGGGTTCACTTGCGGTGGGGCTAGTGTGTTCGCATCGATGTCGTACTGGGTTGTAGGGTCGGTCGCAAGCTGAAGGGTTAGGGAGCCGTCTGACCACCTGAGAATCCGAGCATTGGACTGTAGGACGGCGTTGTTCGAGGGTGAGCGTCGCCATCTGACCGTGGTCATGGCGGTGTTGTAGGCGGAAAAGTGCTCAGACGCGGCGAGCTTAGAGTGGTGGTCTGTAGCCGGCGGCTGGAAGGTCTTGTGATCGAATGCCTTGTCTTCGAAAGACAAGAAGCGCGGGACTTTCAGAAGGTACAGCTCGTTGTCGGTGGGCTCGGGAACGGGATGTCGCGCCAGGTCGGCGTCCATGTAGGCAAATGTCTGTTGCTCGACCTCTTCCACAGCTTCTGGTGCCCTGACGCGATCTGCCCGTCCCTCATCATCGCCTGAGTCGAGCTCTGCATCATCAAGCTTTCGGTGCTCACTAAACACGTCAGTCTGATCCTGGCACTGGATTCTTCGCGACCTACGCTGGCGCATCTTCACCTGCATCTCCGTCTCCGTCGCCAAACAGGTCATCTTCATCATCGTCGAGACCGTTGTCCTCCACAGTGTTTAGCGGCGTGCCATCGTCGACATTCCCAGCAGGAGTTGCCTGGCCGTTGACTTCTTCGTCGGAGAGCTGGCCCGCGTCGGACATGGTCGCGGTTGGTGGCTTTGGTGGCTTCCTGTTGGTATCGTATCCAGGGTGTTTGAGATAGAACGACGCGACCGTAGACCTAGAGTTGCGAGTAAATTGACGTGATAGATGCGGTAAAGGTACTCGCACCGATTGATGGCCGCGATGAACAAAGTTGCGACCAGTAACCCATGAGAATCGCGCTATCCCAATCCGTCCTAGCGTGCCGCCCCTTCTCGATGCAGCCCTTAGGAGAGTGGGCCCAAAAAGCGTGCCCGCTCGAGACGTATCACCAACATCCTCCCCCTCAATCCTCTTGCATACCTTCATAAGCCGGCCTCTCTAGGTGCATTGGACGTATCCGCCCCGTACCCCCCACACTAAATTCCACGAATCCGCAAATCATGGCCTCTTTTTTCGCAAACGTGTAAGTTGCTTGGCACATGCTCCCCTTCCTCAAATGCTCGCGCCTCCCACCCCCAGTCCACGGCCTGAAACATTCAGGCATTTGCTGCATGTCGTCTCACGATTTCACTTTCTGATATGCACCACTTTTCGGCATCTCCCTGCCGTCTTATCGTGTTATAACTTGCGTCCGTCGGAGCCTGAAGTTGTCTTTTCCTCATTCTAACAACTTCACCGATAGTCGCCAAGGATTGGCTGGTCGATCCAACAAGGGCCAACAGCAGCAGGGCAAAGGTGGCTCCGCGTCGCCAACCACTCCATACTCGGCTTCACCAACAAACCAACAACCTCCAGGCCAACCGCCTATGCCCCATTCTCCAGCTCTTTCCTCTGCCATGTCGTTTGAAAGCCAAGGTGCTCCGTCGGACGGGTCCGTGCCGTCTGGCTCCCGCAGACCGCCTTTCTTCTTCCGCGAAGAGTACTCCAACTTGATCGTCAAGGGTAACTTTATGACTTTGGCTGCGAAGCCGAAGCTAGTCGAAGAGGGCGAATGGCTTGCACATCAAGGTACGTTTATACTTTTCAATGCCCCGATATCGCTAAGCATGTGACCAGTTGTCGAGCAGTACAGGCTACTCGAGCAAATGATTGAAATCATCAAGGTAACAGACGACCGGACAGGCAAGCCTGTCTGCAACCCAGATACCTGCCCTACCATGTCTGCCAGTGGCCACACATACACCTGGCTGGACAACAACAAGAAGCCCATTAAGATCCCCGCAATCCAGTACATCAACCTCGTACAAAAGTGGATCGTGGGCAAGATCAATGACCCCAACATCTTCCCCACAGACACCACAGCCATCTCTATCGGAGCCTCGACCTACGCTTCTGGTTCCATGACACCAACCTCAACGCCACAGCCTCTCGGCCCAACCAGTTCCAATGCTTCAATGTCCCAACTCGCCGGGCGCGAGTGGCTCGGCAAGTCATCTGGCTTCCCTGAGACTTTCGAGGGCGACATCAAGAGTATCTACCGCCAGATGATGCGATGCTATGCACACATCTACCATGGCCATTGGCTGGACCCGTTCTGGAACGTGAGTGCGTACAAGGAGCTCAACACGTGCTTCATCCATTTCATCAACGTCGGCAAGCTGTTCAACTTGATCGGCGATAAGGAAATCGAGCCCATGCAGCCGCTGGTCGACCTCTGGGCTGAGAAGGGTCTGCTTCCGCCAATCACGGCAGCCAAGGAGGCAGGTGGGCAGCAGGCTGCACCCGCGTCTTGAGCGACAAGAGTATTCCACTTAAGTAACGAAATGGGCGCCATTTGACATGGAACACCACATCAGCAAGCTATCAACATTTATCGCCTTGCATGGGTAGCGTGAGGGGTCTGGGAGGGGATGATTGGCGTTCTGGCATGTATTACGATTTGCGCAATGTAGCCCTACATGTGAATAGAGCAATCAACAGTTCTGAACAGCTTCTCGGGTCACCAAACACATGCAGTCAAAACAGCAGCTAGTAAGAAGAGACTCAAATTTGATAGTACCACGTAAAGTAACCAGAGAACTGATTTCCCAACAATCCCAGAAACGAAATGTCATAGTACTTCACACAAACTCCAATGGCGAAAAGAGAAGAGAAACCATGTGTCTCCGCTCCACCATCCGATCTGACATTTGACACCGATGCAAATACATTTCATGGGTCCGTGGTTTTGTAGAGATGCGTCATGGCTGGGCTCTGCCACAACGATGGGGCGTGCGTTCGTTATAAGAGGTCTGTGCTAGCAGACGGTTGGCATTTTCGTGACTCGCTATGTGACGGTTCGCGCTCGCCGAACTTAGTTGTGACCGGCCTTGCGGAGAGAGTTGCTCAACCACTCGAGACCCTCGTAGAGACCGTCACCGGAGGTAGCGCAAGTCGACTGGATGTACTGCAGGGGGTTAGCTGACACGCTTTTGAAGCAGGGGGGACCCGGAACATACCCAGGCACGTTGTCGGAGGCTGTGAAGACCAAGCTTGTCGGTGATCTCAGCGGCGTTCATGGCGTTCTGACGCATTGTTAGTCGTTTGGACATTCGTGTTCACGGCTCTTGAAACCTACAGGCAAATCCTGCTTGTTGGCAAAGACAAGGAGGAGAGCGTCCCGCAGCTCGTCCTCGTTCAACATGCGCTGGAGTTCCTCACGCGCCTCAACAACACGGTCGCGATCGTTGCTGTCAACGACGAAGATGATACCCTGGGTGTTCTGGAAGTAATGCCTCCACAGAGGACGGATCTTGTCCTGACCGCCGACATCCCACACGGTGAACTGAATGTTCTTGTACTCGACGGTCTCGACGTTGAAACCTGTAGGTCGAAGAATCAGCGCATTGTCCTGATTGAGTTCATGCTGCACGTTGCGACGTACCGATGGTGGGGATAGTGGTGACGATTTCACCGAGCTTGAGCTTGTAGAGAATGGTGGTCTTTCCGGCAGCGTCAAGACCGACCATGAGAATGCGCATCTCCTTCTTTCCCCATAGCTTATCGAACAGCTTCGAAAATGTGAGACCCATGATTGCGGTGGGTGTGTGTGGTAGTGTAGGGCGGGTGAGTTGGGAGGCGGTGTATAGACTCTCGAACCTGCGACACTAGTTGTCAGAAGAGGGTTGAGGAGAGTATCGTGGCCTTATCGGCTGGTATTGAGCACGGTGACGGGAGTCGCATGGCCGGCGCAGCCATGTTGAGCGCCCGTTGCGGAGTCGACTCGAGGCCACGAGGGAGCTGGCCAGGCGCCGGCTACGGGTTGGGCAAAGCAAACGCAGAAAAAACAATGCAGCAGCGATTGACTTACGGACGGGTTCAAGAGAGTCGGTGGTATTCGGGGATGGGGCGGGTGGATGTGATGTACTCTAAACGATGCACAGGAAGGGCTGCGTTGAAGAGATGTGGTGGAAAGCGCGGCGAAGTCTGGGCACTGTTCGTAAGCTGGCAAGTGCCACCGACACGTGACAAGAGCGGCGATCGCTTATCGTCGTTTTGTTGAAGGAGTTGCGGTGAGAGGCTTCTTGCTTCCAGCTATTCCTTTACTTGGAACGCTTCTTATGATCGCTACTAAGAACTTGACACGTTTTGGCTCTCCTGAAGGCCGGATGTGGAACCCAAGGCACCCATTTATGTTCGGTTGGGCGATCAGCTGCCCCGGGATTGCGTGAGCTCCAGGACCCACAGCTATCCGCACTACTGACTGGGCAACCGCTGTATACTGACGTCTGACCAACGCGACGTGTAGTTCGTGAGATATTCTGGGTCGCATTGATCAGCGCGCATGCGATTGTCTTCCAGGGCGACCGAGGGACGCGGACCACCCAGAACACCTTGAAGTCTAGCAACGGGACGGTATGGTTCAGCCACATCAGTAAGTCGAGGCACATTCTCCTGATTTAGGCATCAATATTCCAAGAGAACAACATCACATCATCGAGTGGACACATGGTTATTGCAAGGCAGCATTGACATCGATGTCGTATCAGCTAATCTCGCCGTATCCTCGTCACCCGCATCTGTCTTCTGCTCCGGTGGTTCATCTAGCTTGTCGCTCGAGTATCTCGACTACCCTGACTCCATCCGCGAACCTAGACCTCGGTGGCCATGGCTCCAGCAGCCCGGATGATAGTACGGAAGCACAGCGAGACGCTTGCAATCCAAAGGCCACTGCGAACAAGTGTAGGCGCCTGAGTTGAAGTGGTGATGTAGGCGGCAGTGTAGGCGACCCTGACAGCTAGGAACGAAGCGCTGAACGAAGCGAGCTCGCCCTGCGACAGGCCAGCCATGTTACCGAGGATGACGGCGCCCATGAAGAGAGGAAGGTTCTGTTGCTGTTAGCTTGACGGACGTTTCAACAAGACTCGATCAACTCTCACCTCCATCCCGTTGGCATGGCAGGCCTCCATACGTTCGTACTTGGCGTAGGTCTCAGCAGGCAGGCGCTTCTTGAGCTCGGCCTTCATGTCGTTGGAGCGCGGGCTTCGGTTGTCCCACTCGAGGAGATTACCACGGGTAGCGACACTCACAGCGAGAGCGTGAGGAAGGAACGAGACTGACCATCGAGAAGCTAGGTTAGACTACCGATCGAATTTAATCTCTCACCGGACAGTATGACATACGGATGAGGTAGGCTGGAATCGCCAGGACCGAGGCGTTGTAGCCGTCGAGGAAGGAAGGCATGTTGTTCTTGCGAGTGTCTGGCTGTTGTTAAGGTGTCGTGTGTTGGTAGAGGAAGAAGGAAGCTCTGTTGTGAGCGAGGAGCTTTATTCGTCCTGTGGGGCTGTATTCCGCGGTGACTGCCTTAAGAAGTGAGTACCACGTGTGCATGAGGGTCGCTAGCACGGGTGCTCTTTCCTCGCGAGGACATGTTCTACGGCCCGCGGTGACACCGCTACGTGAATGTGGAAGTCGCGCAGTCACGGACAACAGCGCTACACCTCATACAAGGAAAAGATTGAAAAGGCCTGCAGCCTACATTAACATAGAAATATGCACATCAGATAACCTCAGGTCTACGCTCCAGGTCTTCAGCTTTCTCCATGAATGAGGTGGCCAGGTCAGCTCGTGGAGACATTGCGCACTCAACCTCAGGTGTCTACAGTACCACAGGGTGTACGAAAAAGACCCTGCAAGGGTCTCAAGAGCTATGGAGGAGGCAAGCGAATTGATTCTTGGTATTCGGCAGGCTACCTCTACAGCTCGCTGACTGTCACTGCGGGGCGGGATGTATGCCCCACCTCCAGGGCTGTCACCATACGCATCGTCCCCTCCGTACATTTTCCCCTCCACGCTATACCTTCATCCAGCGATTACATCCGTGTTCAATACATTGCGCAAACACACGATACGTTACGATTGTCCGAGAAGACCGACTCAACGATACCAAGCCTTGTTTAGCCGATCAATATGGACGCCGCGAAAGATGCTTCTCGAGAAGTTTGTGCTGTCTGTTGGGGAGTTTGCGGATTCGCATCAAGCAGAGAGAATCTTGAGATGGCCAAAAGTCAAGAGGGTCTCACTTCATTTTGTCAGGCGCGAGACTTACTTGCAGCATCAGCCCAATGTGAAATGTGTGATTATCTATTCATCCACGCCAAAGAGGACACCAGTCGTTTCGACCTAGATGCAAGAATCGCCATCAACATACAGTTTTTCAAGTTCGGGGGAGTAGAGAGCTTCAAAGGTCTTGTCGATAATCTAAGGATTTTCATGAAGGTAGAGGGGAAAGATTCACATTTCTTCGAAGTCTCAGATCGATCGGAAGAACATCTGGGGTTTGTTACGTGGTCGGTTCTGGCGCACCGTGGTTCGTATCCCGCCCGCAACCATGACCTCGCATCAACTGATATTGTTCGTGGTGTTCAGATGATCCTGCAGCAGCAGAGATTAAATGTTCTCCAGTCAATCACGATGTCAGCTCTAGCACCAAGCAAGCGAAATCATGGATTGAAGAGTGCAAGCAGCTTCACAAGCACTGTCCTGAACCCGCTGTTCCTCTATTACCAACAAGAGTTTTAGATGTCAGCGAAAAAGCTATTCGACTGCATGTTTCTAACGGTGAACGGTGCCATTACTGTGCTCTAAGCTATTGTTGGGGTGGTCCACAACCGGTACGGACGTTGGCCGAAAACATAGAAAGCCACAGAGTCGGCATCCAAGTCTCAGCTCTTCCACGAACTATACAGGATGCAGTGTCTTACACGCGGAAATTGGGGGTCAAGTATTTGTGGATTGACTCGCTCTGTATCGTGCAGGACAGCGAAGATGATAAGCGTCAAGAAATTGCGAGGATGGCGAGCATTTATCAAAATGCATTGATCACCATTGCAGCTACGAACGCATCAAGATGTGTAGACGGCTTTCTATCGAAAAGACGCAGACCGAATTATGAAACTTTTGTCGGAGATCTTCCCTGGAGCTGTCTCGACGGTAGGCTTGGGAAGGTGTCCTTGCACCGTCAATTTTCCAGGAAACCACGCGAGGAACCACTCGACGGAAGAGCATGGGCCCTGCAGGAGTTCTTACTTTCTCCACGCGTACTATGTTTCTCCTCACAACAGCTAGTGTGGGAGTGCCAAACCGTCAGATGCACCGATGGAGGAAACCCTGATTCACAGGGATACTTGGAGATGGGCAAAATCAGAACAGTACCATCCATGTTATCACCATTGACAGCTGCATTAGTTTCGAAGTCACCGCACAGTATGTCCGCGCATGAAGTATGGAGAGACGTCGTGAAAGACTTTACTCGGAGGGAAATGACTGAAGAAGGCGACAAGCTTCTGGCAATCTCCGGCATTGCCCAGCAACTCCATCTCATGACGGGAGACGAATGTCTAGCTGGGTTGTGGAAAGCGTCTCTAATGTCCGAGTTGATGTGGTCCCACGACTTGATGTTCGACGTTGCCAAAGGTCCCCAACCTGCTAGACGACCCGAGATATATCGTGCGCCATCATGGTCGTGGGCTTCTGTTGACGGAGCTATCGAGTTTTGTGGGTCACCGAATCACCTGGACCCAGTAGCAGAAGTCGTACAGTGTGAGGTCCTCTTGGCAAACTCGAGCAAGCCATTTGGGGCTGTCATCGATGGTCGTTTGGTAATACGAGGGCCGTTACGTTCGCTGGAAATAGACGAAGTTCTCCAGTACTTCGATCTGCGCCGTACCAGATTTACAGGGTCAAAACTACCCAGAATGATCCTAGACGGGAACGAAGTTTTGCCAGTCTCCAGTGCAGTCTCGCTGCCCGACAGCATTTCAGGTGATGCTCAAGTCGATCAGCGCATATGGTTACTGGAGATGGCTCGATACTCATCATATCCTTGCGGCTTGGTCCTTCGCCAGACTTCTCAGAAAAATCATGGATCATTCCGTCGCATTGGCTGGTTCGATAGTAGGTCGCCATGGTTTGACGCATCATGGTGGACCCGCGATTCCTCTATAGAAACAATCACGATAGTTTGATGAAGACCAGGAGCCACTTCAGCTCGAAGGGATGGTAGGATACGCGAATGCCAACACACGCTACATATCTCAAACTCCGAGACCCCCAAAAACTGCTCCATGTGTGTACTATAAGATGGCTACATGTCAATGATCACTCCTTCAGCAAAGCTTCCAATTCCTTCTAGAGATCGGCAGGTGGCAGAGTATCTTCACATATATAACGCACCAGACAGCCTGTCGGCCCACCGACGCACTCCTGATACGGCTCACATTCTGCGCACGGCGGTTCGAAAGACCTACAATACTCTGGGTTGGTACATGTAAGGCCCCGACAATCTGTAGCCTGCGGCCTCAACCCCGTCTTGTCCTTTGGCTTCGAGACCATCGTGCTCGGGTCGAGAGGGACAATGAACTCAGGAACAATCCACAGTTGAGCTTCATCGGCCACTGCAAGTCCGTCGACGCCGGCCCATTTATCGCGCTGGTCAGGGTACTTCCAGGCGACGAACTCTTCGACGTGATGGGCGGAGAGTTGAATGTAGTCAACTACTTCGGTACGAGCGGGGTTGAGTCGGCGCAGAACT